GCTCGCCGGTCTTTCCATTCAATTACGCGAGCAATTACGATCGCATTCGATCCTCGATGAATTCGAGGCGGATTTTCAGTACAGATGTCATCGAGATGTCGTCGTTCAATTAAGTCTTAAATCGCGCTTCTCTACGATAATGCTCATCCTTTTCTTAAAAAAGGCGCGTTAACTAAATTTCGAATATGTATCGAATGTATCGAAGTCGTATCGAAGTATTAAGGCCTTTTTTCCACGATGTTGATTGGTTGCCGATTGGTCCCCGAAATTTGCATCCCAGCTTGCTTCATCAAATTCGAATGACAGTTAGGTACTTGTGCAAAATGTTATTTTTTTATTGTGGTGTATGTAAATGTTGTTTTGTGTAATGATACAAAAAACTTAATGGTGCGCGCTTATAGTGTTCTATACAATATGTTTACACGAGCGTTACTTCTGTAATAACTTACGCTAATTCCTCCGCGTAAACGAGTGAATTATCGTTACTACAGAAGTAACGCTCGCGTAAACGTAGTACTAGTTTATTAAAATTAAGAAAAGCATATTTCGTAGGGCATTTTCACCGTCAAAAGACAACCAGAAAGGACAAAAAATAAATTTGTATACGCGTTCGCAAATTCTTTTTCATCTCCGATCGTTTCTCTTTGAGAGAAACGATTTTCGGATCCATTAAAAGAAACGAATCCAGAGGGCAATGCGCGTGCACGAAACGCGCCTACGTCGACCATCACCTGATCGTCCCGTTCGTCCGTCGAGTCGGCCAATCGCGTCGATCGGATTAGCGGAGAGGGGCAGGGCAAAGGGGCGCGCTGATTGGGATTTACATGGCTTATGAATTATGCACGGGGATCCGCTTTTAAAAGTCAATCCGCGCGCAGTGTCGCGCTGCAATTAGAATCCGCACGCGGACGGCCGCCGGCCGGAGCGTCGATGACGGCCGCGTCGGAAACGCGGCCTATCGATCGCCCGCTTACGCGCCCGAAACGGCCCCGTGTGTGCGCGCGGGTTAAGGTTAAACCCCCACGCGAGAGGGGAAAACCCCCCAATGCCCTTCGCGGCCGCCTCCTCTTCCGGCGCTGCTGACGTATAATCCGCCGTCAGTGACGGACAGTTCTGGTCTCCTTACTCCCCGGAGTAAGGATCGTTATACGAGTCCTCTCGAAAGTTAAACTGTCTCTCAACTTCATGTGAGATAAAGATCACAGAAAATCGATGAAATTATAAACCGTGTGTTCAAATTAAGATATTTACAGAAAGTTACTTTCAACTGTGACACTTATTTCCTATTTTAATATATTACAGCTCAATCTATCTTTATTTATTTATATTTTCTCATGTCTCAACTTATATATATTTATTTAATTTCTTGTCGGCTGATGAAGACTCCGGGTAGTCGAAACGTTCCGACAGTTAAATATTATGGTCGTTTTATTGATCCTCTCGAGGTTACAACCCTCGACAAGTTAAATGTTAATAAATCATAATTTATTTAATTCATAATAACTTGATAATCTGCTCGTTTATCGTTCCACGTCCTTTCTAGTTGTCTTACAAAACACGAGCCAAGAAAGTCATGACACCAGCGTTTTAATAATCATATTCTTAAATCGCGAAAGGACTAATAATATTGCCTGATTGATTACACCATTTGTTACATTTTTATGCTTTTGTAAGTCGAGCGGAATGTAAATTCGAAAATATTGTATCTATACGAAAAGTATCTCAATCAATCTCTCCGATTCCGACTATACGCACGTCGCTCGCTCGCTCGTCAATCCGCGCGACTTCCTTTCCTTCGCGGTCGATACGATTTTACCTCGCGACGAGGTAACCCGCCGCTCGTTCGCCCACGCAAAGACGGCCGGATTTTGTCGTTCACGGGACAGATATTCTTTCGAGCACCACATATACTCCAAGAAAGTTCGATGTAAAACTCGAAATCTGAAAATCTCAGATTCGCTGTTTTACGTGAACGTTTACGTTTCGCGTGAACGGATATTATGTGCAAAGTGCGCATCAAAGTCCGATTTTATTGGATTTTAACGAATGTTTTGATTAAAAAAGTGGTTTCGCCGTCGGCTTTCGTCCTTCGGCCCGCGTTGCAAATCGTTGCAAATCGAATCTCTCGCGCGTTATAAAACAGCTCAGGGCGGCGCGTTCGCGTTGTTATACCTGTCCGGTTACCTGTCCGGCGAGCGCGGCGCCTGCGGGTCCGGATAAACCAATCAATAATTGATTCGTGCACGGATGCACGACGCGTAATGGAGTTAGGCAAACGCAATGGCGTTTTAATCGAACGCATGCCAGCCAGCTCGGTTGCGGTGGCGCGCGATCGGCCAATTAATCGCCCGATTTCCGCGCCTCGCGGCGGCGGAGGTCAATCGCCGCGCGAATCGTGGGACTCTCGGGATCTGTCAGGCATCTCGAGAAACCATTGTCGCGCGGATCACAAAAGAGCTGATAGCTCTCGAGAAACGACCGAGAAACTCATTGGCAAAAAAATGTACGAAGCAGCCACGTAGCTGACGCGCGAATTCAAATTAATGTTTAAAACCGCAAGAAGACAATTGTCTCTTCTTTTTCTTTAAAAAACAAAAACATGGAGGACTATGTGGGGTGCGTCAGGGGTCACCCTACGTTCCACGCAGACCCTTTAATTACACCGCTAATAGCAGTCGACGGCACGCGTGCGGCGCGGTTAGACGCAGCGCGGTCGTTTCGCGCTTGTTAATATTTCACTTCCGGCGTGATATCGCAGCGGCACCGGGTTCAAGTCAGCCGTGGGCGCTGTCTAAAAATAGGATATAGATCTGCGTGGATGTTAAAATCCCGGGAGGAGTTGGGGACGAGAGCTCCGTGTGTCCAACATTTTGCAAACAAATTCTCGCGCCGAACAAAATCGCAACGGTGCGGGGAAAAAAAGGAGGGAAAGGGGAAGAGATTTTTAAATTTCGCACGCGAACTATCGATCCCTCGATGGTTCTCGGATTTTCTTCAAAAACGCATCCGCGACGACGCGACGAGATAAAAAAAACCTCGTTCTTCACCTTTGTCGTTTTAATCCTCGTTAAATTGTACGTTAAACGTCCCCGTTAAACGCATTGTACGGACGCGTTCGCCGCTATATTCATGACGTATAGCTTTCACAGCGCGAGCAGTGAGGAAACCTGACGCGAGGAGAAACATCGGAGAGAGGAAAATCGGACGGCGGCGCGAGAGCGAGCGAGAAAGAGAGAGAAAGAGAAAGAGAGAAAATAGGAGAAACGAGAGTGCGACTGGAAGGGATTTTGCGCGCTCGTGAAAAGATCGCGGAAAGGGGGATTCCGCGGGGGAGGAGGGGGGAGTAGAAGGGTAGCTGTAAGCCGAGGGCTGGGGGATGGCGCAGGAAGGCCGAGGCACGCAATATGGCCGCCAGCGAGCGAGAGAAGCGCCGCCTGGAAACATTTTTCTGTTCCCGCCGCGAGAAGCAGTTTTCCGACCGTCGTTTCGTCGCTGACTTCCGATCGCTTTAGGTTAGAGATCCCGTTTTTGAATCCCGATTTTCGAGCCCGGCGAAATTCTACCCGTTCGATATCACACGCCACCAATCGAATTGCAAATCGACGCAAAACGGGAGAAGCGACACGCTTGGCGTCGCTCTCAAACGGCATCCTTCCCTTTTACGCGAAAAAATGTCTCGTTTAACATAACGCTGATACAACGTATCTAATGATCGTTCAACGATTCGATCCGTCGCGTTCGTCTGTCGGTAATGGAGTTTAAAATGCGACAAATGATCTTTTTTTTTTTTCCACAAGTTCTAGAGATTAAAATATTCGTGTAAAAGAAAAATACTGGCAGCTTTTGCACGAGAATCGAATCACGATGATTAAATAAATAAAACGAAAAATTTGTTTCTGTAAAGGTAATAGGATTGATCACGATCTATTGAAACAAACCATTTTATGTGAGTTTTATCTCATTTCTACATTGGCACTCGTTTTTCTTGTGTCCCGCTCCTTTCTGAAGCTACTTGGAAAAAAAAAAGCTTAATTCCATTTCAATTAAAATGATTGCTAAATGGAGCTCCCTGCTCAACTTGATTTAAAGTGGAAAGACGTTTGATAAGTAAAGCGCGATCTTCGATCTCGACAGCTGGACGACCAAACATCCATCTGTTACCTCAAAACATACTTTGAGATACGAAGAACACAACAGAGGCGTGTTATTTATCGTTATACCCTAAAAAAAACGAATACAAAATATTAAGTATTTCAAGATTCGACCGATGCTCGGTTCAAATTGTGCAGCTGATGCAATAAAAATTCTGTTTTTTTTTTCCGGAAGATCAGTCTAGATCGAGAAACACGATCGCGCCGACGTGATCGAGAAAACATGTTTTACGTTTCGCAGGAAACGAGCCGTAGAAGTCCTCGCGGCGATGTTGTGTGCGCGCTTGACCTGCCCTCGCTCACCATTTTACCAGCCATTGTTGCCACCATCCGGGGACGAAAAATTGCGTATATGCACGGATTAATATGCCCGTCGAATATCTCTCTCGCGGTTTTCGTATACGGCAAATTACGTACGCGCGCAACGCGTACGTTCCCGTTCACGTGCGCTCTCGCACCCGGGGGACGAGGGACCGGGAATCCACGTCCGGCAGTCGCCGACCTTCCACCTCGGGGGGGACGAACTTTTTTTTGGTTAAGTACGACGGACGGACTACGCTCGCTCCTCGGAGCGATTCCGCGGACACCCGCGCGTTTTTCCAGGTCGGGAAAGGAAGCGACGGGCGCGAGGAAGCGAGGAGGCGACCTCGAACCAGCGCCAGAACGAGCGAAACGCGAGCGGTCGCGAGAAACGACGACGATCGACCGCGAGACGGTCGTCGCCGTCGACGGGCGATGGTGAATCGTCGTCGACGGTCGCGGAACCGCGATTCCGCGACGCGTCTCCGCGATCCCGGGACCCGCGCCCCGCCGCCGAATCGGTCCGCGATCCGAAAAAGCGTCGCTTACCTCAATGTGACAGGAATACGGAGGCTCGTTCGTAACTCGGATGTAAACACAGACATTTTTCGGCAGAAATGACACTGAGGCAGCCGTAACGACGTGCGTCCGAACACCGTTTACATCGCGGCCGACGCCGACGCGTTGCGCAAAGCGATCCTGCGTTATTAAATGCCGCGGTAAACACAGGAATTCGGTCTCTCCGCGGAAAACATCAATCGAAAATTAGAGATGGCAGCCATTACTTTCGTACAAAACAAAGGTCCACATCCACGGACTCGCAAGCGACCGAGCCTCGAACCCAGGCGCGTCACCGCCGCTCGCGGTGCGCCGCGCGATTCAAACCGGTCGAACCGAGCGCGATTTCCGCGTTGGATTTATCGTTCGCCGCCGTTCTCTCGTCGGCGATTGAACGATCGCTGGACGGGACGTTGAACGACGAGACACGCGTGTACGCGACGGAAGGACAACCGAGTTAATTATTCGGCGTGCAAATTCCGCCGGACGACAGACGCCGAACTGGCCGCAGCTAACCGCGGCCGCGGGAAGATGTCGCGGCGCTCGCGCGCGCGCGCCATCTGTCGACGAGCGCGGTAAGCGGCGAACGCCGTGCGCTGCCAACGTCAGGGAGCTGAACTGCGCGCCGAGTCGAGCCGAGAGCGCGCGGAGACGACTTCGGCCGGATTCGGCTCGGCGTGTAAACCGAGAGGCCGCGATCTCCGCGACTCGAATCGTCCTCCGCCGATCTCTCGAAAGTGCTCGAAAGTCGCCGCGATCCACCGCCGCCGCCGCCCGCGCCGTCGTTTTGTTGTCGTTTCACGAAAAACGTCACGATCGTGACGGCAGGCGGCTGGGAAAGGAAAGGACGTAGCACGCGTATACATTCACGAGCGTTCTAATGTTGGTACCATCTGTCGCCACGCGTGAAAGACTACGAGGCGGCGATCATCGCCGCCGGCCGCTTATTGATTTCCTCCACATTTCCCTCGCCTCGTAGATATATGTTCCTCGCGTAAATACCGCGGGACAACCATGTGCCAGCGTGATTGATCAGGTACCGTCGATCGAGGGCCCTTATTTTGACGTGGGCGCGACGCGACGTGGAAGAGACTTTCGCGGAGAATTCTTTGAAAAGGAAGAACGCGGGATTGTGTCGCGCGCGAGAGCTCCGGACGAAAGAACGGAATGCCGTTGAAAAAGAAAGATAGAACGGAAAAAACTCGCCGGGGAGCCTCGAGCGTAAAACGAAGGTTACGAATGGAACGAGATGCCTCGGATAATTATACGCGTCCGCGATTTTGATGCGCGGACGTGACGTACCTCGTGCAATTGAAATAATTCAATTCCGTCGTGCGGATCAACGTGGTTTAAATTGTTGACATCCGAGACACTCGTCGTGCGAATCGTTCGGTAAAAATACGCGACTGTACGCGTTATTCGTTCGCTTATATACGCATTTGTCTCAGAAATATGTTGTACTTTGCTCTCTCTTTTCGCTGTAATAAACTTTATATATTTCATTGATTGTATCGCAGACGAAAATTATTTGATGCCTGTGTGCCTTTCACATTAGGTGGAGATGGCCGACGCGGATCCGCAGTTCAAGCGACTTTTACTGCCAGCGGAGGAGACTCTGTTCGAGCAGCTGTTGAGATTCGGCCTCTACGTAGGTGCGATGTTCCAGATAATGTGCTTGTTAGCTATAGTCGTGTATCAGGCCGGTCCGTCCGACGGTGTGGCAGCTTTGAAGGTACCGTCCAGCTGGACAGTGTCGCAAACTGGAGCTGAGAACGTGGCCTTCCACGTAGCAAATGATTCTCGTAATTGCAGGACGATCCGAGCGACGTGGAGTGCTCTGAAAACAGTCCCCAGGTGACGCCGAGAAGACCTCACCGGCCGCGAAAGCAGGAGAAAAAGAAGAGGCGTTGAGATGATGTTTTTCCTCTGATACAACTCATTTCACGACCACCTTAAAGGCTGGGTCTTGAAAATAATTCCTCGGCTCATCTAAGTTATTTACTAAATGGACATTTTATATAATGTGCAATGTGTCAATCTCTAAAGTATAATTTATAAAGTATAATCCTACTTTTTAACCATATAACTCATTGTCTGTTTTAACTTCATGTAAAATTATAAAAGCGTTATTTGTATGTAATATTTTATAAGAGAATAATAATTAGCTTTTTACATAATTAAATTAGCGAGAAAAGATTCTTGGAATTCCTTCCGGACAAGTGCGAATTTTAGAGACACTTTGTATATATATGTTGCAACATAACCTTTTGATACTTGTATATGTATATGTGTTGTAACATAACCTCTTGACGCATCCTATACATTCATAATATATAAAAGATGAGAAGTAATTAAAAGAAAGTGATAAGTTAACGTACAAAGTACACGACTCCCCTTCTTCTCAAAACGGAAATAGAAGTGTCAAAAAACGTAAAATTGGATAAAGTTGACGGCACGTTAAGTAAAAAAATTATTCGTGTTTTTTTTAATTCAACGAAACTTAACCTCTCAATCGGAAAAAGCCACGATATTAGGCGGCGCGGTTATGCGACGAATTCACGTTGATCCGACTGGAAATGCGAATGTGATTGTATGATATCTTGTAGTTAGAGCATTATTATTGATAACTCGTGAAGAATGCTGCACAATACGGCGACCTTGTCGCCTCAGGATATTTTGATTGAGGTTAGAAAATTTATCTCCGGTGCCATCCGGCCTTCTCACAGCACGAATACGCAAGACGTGACGCGCACGGCGCTATCCCTGCTGAAAAATGTACCCGCGGCGAGGGAAGCCGTCCTCGAATATTTTTGCAACGTATTCTTCGTCGCGGTGACGAAATACGTTCGCCAAATCGAGGTAAGCACGCTGTACTCTTGGTACGTTCTTCCTTTTACACAGCGCATAACAAGTATAATTTATGTAATAACTGAATCGCGATCTTTGTAGACGAATCAGAGTATACCAATACCCGAAGAGAGCATTATAACAGAGATTCACGCCATCCTGAGCAGTTTCGTTAATGAGAATCCAGAATCCTGGGCGCCTATCATATCAGCATGGTCGTTGGACCTACTCGGTACATATATTTCGTTTACAATTGTACAGAATATATTTCTGCGACGTGTCAAGTACGATTTTCCTATAGGTAAAATATCGTCCGACTATTCAAAGCGTGGCAATTTGCCTGTCAATGCAGGCATCAATGATTTTCTGCAGCAGTGGATGTCGTGTCGTGCAACGAGAACTTTGATAGACATTACCGCTCAATGTCTACAGTGCCTTATGCATTCCGATACGGAGTCTTGTATCAAGGCGTTGTTAGACACCAGCGTGCTGCATAGTCCGTACTTTGATTGGGTGGTCGCTCATGTAGGGAGCTGTTTTCCGAACACTGTGATCACTAGAGTGCTATCTTGTGGACTGAAAGACTTCTGCGCCATGGGCTATGAGCATAATGTTAAGAATCCAAAGTTGAATTCGGTTGTCGGCATATTGGGACACTTGGCGGGTAGCCATTTTCAAGATATTAGAAAAGCGCTGCTAGACTTATTCGAGGCAAGCTCGTCATATAAGTTTTATTGTCCTGTTGCATTGATATTTTCGATTTAAGTTTACGTATTATATAATATATATTCGCAATAATCTTTTAGTGGAGTTTGGAAGAAGACTTGAGTCTTGACGACGATACCAAGAAGCAGAAATTGGCCACGGTACCGTTTCTTCTGAATCTGGCCTCGCTTTCGCAAACTCTTTTGAAAGCAATGACCAGCGACGTGTTACAAATATGTATGTTTTTAATAAAAATTGTATTGAAGTAAATTGTATTATCATTAAGTGCAATTGTGTAAAACATATTTGTTGCAGTGAGGCCAGACATTATACCACGACTGGCATTGTTTGCGGCAGACTGGTGTAAATACTTTGATAATCAACCAGCGGCGTTAATGGACTTGACAGTGCATCTGACGTTGGGATGCGAGCAAGGCGCGTCACAGATAATCAATATACTGCTGGATACGAGTCTGAACACGAGCAATGTCGGCTATCACAGCGTCAATGCGGCGCAAAATGTGAAAAACATTTGTCGAGAGATACTGGAATTGGTTCTACAGGAAATCGATCTGTTATTGAGAACGCACGGACCGCAGTCAGCCAATATCCTTCTGCTGAGTTCTGTCAAACAGGAGATATCGTTGATAGTGCCGATGATGCTAGATCCTAATCCGCTGCGTGTACAAACGGCTGTCAGACTACTAAGTTTTCTCAGAAGTCAAAATCAGAACATAGTCGTCTTCACGGCGTCCTACATGCTGATGAAAGCTCAAACAATGTTCCATCTCGCGGCCTTAATACGTCTTATCACTAATAACGTCGTACAGTTTCCCACGAGTAAATCCGGATTCGAAAATATTCTTGCCAGTCACGATTATTTTGCACAGGTCATGGAGCAAGCACTTAGAGAGATACATTATAAAAGCGGAGGAATAAATAAGGAGGACTCGAGACAGTTATTCAAGAATCTTATTATAATGTTGAAGCAAGTGTCATTAATTTAAAGTATTTAAGCATTTTATAGTTCAATTTAATAATTAGAATCTTTCTCCGTCTCATTTAGATGGGAGAAATCAAATAAGGTGGCGATATTGCAGTCACAGATGATTAGCAGAGCTCTTAGAGCTAATTTATATCAAATATCTTGTTTATTGATGAAAAATGATGATTTTGACTTGGCGAATGATATTGTTACTCTCTTGGATCTGTTAAGCACACCCGAAAAGGATCATGTTCTCGATGTGGAACTTATGCTGAAATTGACGAGGGCGATCATACAGTATTTCTTTTCATGCATTGCTCAAACTGGTAATTATAATTCTAACGTTTCTATTTATTTTTTAAGTAACAAAGTGTACGATAATATTTCTTTCTTAGATGTTATAAAAAAGCAACAAGGAGTAAAGATGGTATGTCATTTATTGAAGGATTTGGCATGTTATTCTACGTCCGCACGCGTATTGGCGCTCAGAGAGATATTAGGAAATAGTATCAATAATGAGCAAGCCAAGTATTTTGGCGCAAAAGAGAAATTTGAGCCTCGTTTTGAAGAGATGTTATTATTACATCAAAATCATAAACAGGTAAAATTTGCACAAAAGCATGATAAAAGTACATTTTAAGATATCGAAGATATGTTTTAATATATGTGTAAAATCTTTTACTTTTATTTTATTAACGTTGGATATGGGATCCATTTAACTTAGATATGTAGAATTTAAATAATCTTGTTTTAGGTGACGAGCACCATGTTAGCGCAACGACATTCGTCGGTATTTCATGCTGGTGTGATAGGACACGGTCCACGAAGGCTTCCGCCGGAAAATTCGATCGATAAGGAAATCGTTGCTTTAAACAAAATGTTACTAATAGACGTCATAAAGGTAGAGAATTTGATCAAATTAAATAGAGCCCAAAATATTGTATATTAAATACTCTAACAATTTGAATTATTTATAGGCTTGTTGCAGCAACCAGGAATCAGATCGATATCCAGTTAACTTGGACGCTCTGACAATGGTCAGTTTGTTGTTGGTTGAATTGGTATCGCCTGATGTTATGTACAATGGTCTACCGTGGCCTGATGAGGAATTTACAAAGGTAGTATTTACGTTAAATACCTAACGTGTTACGTTACTTAATTATTGATATCATTTCACTGCTATATCGCTGAGTTATTCATCCTCCTAGTTAATTATTACCTAATAGAATAATTTTGATTATATGGCAGGTAACAATAGAAAGAGATTTACAAATTCGTCGCAAATTTAAGGATGTTCCTCTATTGTGGACGTTGTTAGAATTGACCGCCTGGTACAGGCCGGCGTTAGCGTATTGTTCCGTTTTACTGAGAGGAATTACTGCAACCGTTATGGCTAATTGGAATACAGAGGAAGGCGTTTCGCTTGTCAATATAATGGCTCTTGGTCAATTATTACCACCGCCGCTGGCGAGTATTAGGGACATCCTACGAGTTTTACAGCCTCACCAGGTATGTTTTCGATTCTGTAACATTATTTCAGTTAAATTTATATATTCGGATTTTGCAAATATATTTCTAATTGCAGATAAATACAATAATGAGGGAATGCCTGTGGGCGTACATGCGCGAAAATGTGCCATCTCCAGCGTTATTTACGCGAAATGAAAGCACTAACATAGCCTGGAGAGACATCGATATGTCATCGCCCAATGCACGTTTCACAGATACACTCCGTTTAGTATTACTGGCAAATATTCACACTTTAGGATCTTTATATTCGACATTATTTTATAATGAAAATAAGTAATATAAGATACGATATATTTTTGAGACACAATACTTAAATTATTTTTAATCATATGCATTTTGTAAATACTATTGACGTACGTGATAGTAAATGATAATTAATAAATAATATGAAAATTTATTATCCTTTCTCTTTTTTTTTTACTTAGAATACATACTTACATATAGATAATTTCTCAAATAAAAGCTATGTTTTGATAATATTGATTAACATAATATTATCAAGCTACTTGGTTCATATATGAGAAAATTGGTTTATTATAACATGCGTTTCAAAATTATAAATACTAAGATTTAATATTTCCACAGATTTCATGTATTAAACACCATTAACAGTAAGTACATTTGGACATTTAGTGTTCTCCTTGTTACATCGATATCCTATAACAATAGTTATAATTCATATGTATCTTATAACAACCCTGAATATAAAGTAGAAAATGACAATCACACACTGTATAAAATAGGAAGTAATCTTTACTGGTTTCTTGTATACATTCTATTTTTTAAGTATGTAACACATTACATAATACATGGATCCTTCTTTTTATGATATAATCGAGCGTTATAATTCTCAATTAATAATATGGGTAGGAATTTGTTCTACAACTCTCGGAAAGGGTCATTCAGCGAATCGTGATGAGATTATCCACACAGTGCGGATTATGCATAACAAAACGCGATGATGAAGTTGTTGAGGAAATGAAACAAGGAAGACGAAAAGAAAAATATACATATGTTTTGTAATATTTATAAAAGCACATCCTCTCCTCCTAAATACATATGTAAGAAACAAATTAATTTACTTCGCATTATTATCAATACAGGAATGGATGGTACCTAAGGTGAACGAACGCTGTTCGAATTGCTTGCACGAATACCCTAGGTGGGTGTCTCGTCCTAACTGAAATGGATTATTTCGTATAATCGTATGCAAAATCGGTTCAATTCATATATAAATGTCGCGATTTTACTTTTACGCCATTTGAGTCTTCCACGCGGCTCTGTCCGCGTCAAATCACAGAGCTCAAAACGCTAGTAAAAAATGTTGAAAATATTTAATTACTTTCTTACTATGTACACGTTTTGCTCGTTGTACGAAAGATATTACATCTTACAATGCAAGCACAGGCTTGTGACATCTTCCGCGCTTGCATTTGCGAGCATTAAATGTTATGTTCGTGTTTTTATATGCTCTCTCTACGCTCCGTCAATGTATCTCGCCTCTATCAGTTGGTGCTTCGTGTACCGTTTGACACAGCGTAGAATCAATGTTTAATGTAAAAATAAAGGGTACGTTCTCTCTTTTTCTCGGTAATGCATAAACGAAGATATCATAAGTGGTAATGTAAAACAATATTATTTCCAGAATAGATTTCAAAATATATTGCGTGTCAATGGTCACGTTAATATATTATGCGTAAAAGAAGCACATATACTTTTTCTTTTTAAGTAATGTCATCGACAATATAATCTTTTGAGCAGAGAATCAACAATATACCAATGGTAAGTTAAATATGTGCGACTTTTTATAACAACGGGGAACTTTCGTCTGGCGCCGGTGTTTGTCTATCCATTCTATGAGCCTTGACATAAACACACAGCTGCCAATCCGACTCTCTTACTTTACAATAAATTATTACTCAGTTCTTCAGAATTAAAAAAGTTCACTTTTCAAGTCTATAGGTGAATTAAGTTTAGAAGAGTAACGTGCTCATGCCACCCATTTCACTTTGCTCCTTCACAAAGATCTCGAAGTATTGGTATATGATTGTGACAGCGAGCAAGATACCGGTACCGGAACCGATCGCGCCCAAGAAGTCCGCCAGTACGGAGAGAGCCCCGATACATAGCCCGCCGAACGCCGCGGCGGTCGGGATGTATCGATTTAGTTCGCGAATCATGGAATTATCTCTGTGGCCTCGCATCACCATCTGCTGTTCTCGCAGTTGTTTAGCAACCTAAAAGTTCAATAACGCATGTCGTAAATTTTTACACTTCGTCGAGAAGATTCATACCGCCTTTCAGTGAAAGTTGTACTAACATCCTTTGCCGAGCTCCCGGAGACTTCGATCCACGTCTTGGAGAAGAAAGCGCATGAGCCGAGCATGAAGAGAATGTAGAGCATGGCGTGGACAGGATCTTGAAGGATGTGACCCACCGATTCTGGAGGTGATAAGTAATAACATAATCCGCCAACCGGATATGATCTGGCGGGTCCTCCGCCCCCGACATCCGACCAAACGCCTAGCAGATTCACTATAAGATTTCCTTGGAACTTGACGGCCAACATCTGAGAGATGACGTACAAATTGGACACCAAAGCCGACTGCAGGATAATCGGGATATTGCTGGTGTAAAACAGTTTGATCGGATAGCTGCTGTATTGGCCGCGGTATCTGGCGGATTTGATCGGAAGATCCACACGGAAGCCCTAAAAATAAAGTGATTTGATTTCTCGAGTCCAGTCATTACTTACAACAGCCTGATACTTTTTTGTTCGAAAACCAGTATTAGAAGAAATTAATATAAACTTTATAACTTGTGCAAATGTTCTGTGACCTATCAGCAATTTACCTGGAAATAAATAACGATAGCGAACACTAGAATGGTGGCGAGGAGATTCATCAGATTTGGAAGATTTTGTCTGTAGAACGCTTCACGGAGGCCTCGGACTTTGTCCTGTCTGGTAGCCAGCAAATGGAACAGCGCGATTACAGCTCCTTCAAATTCCGTACCACGACCTATTAAGTATATAAAAATAAAATTTTAGTTAACGTTTAGATAATTGATGCTCTTATTACGATTTTTTTTCTAATAACGAGAAAGTTACCGGTGTTGACTGTGGCTGGCGAGAATGCTTTCCACACAATGGTCTCGCAAATATTGGTGGCGATAAATAGAGATATTCCGCTCCCCAATCCATATCCTTTCTGGAGAAGCTCGTCCAACAGCAATACGATAAGTCCAGCGACGAATAACTGAATGATAATCAGAAGACAGACACCAGCTCCAATTTCAGTCGGATCACCGTACATTCCGGTCATTACATACACAATGGCTTGTCCAACGGTAATAACCATGCCAAATACTGCATAAA